TGTAGTCCCAGTCACTCGGGAGGCTGGGGTGGAGGATCGCTTGAGCCCAGGAGATCAAGGCTGCCATGACTGCACTCCAGCCTGGGGGAAAGGGAAAGTTCCTGTCTCTAAATCATAACAATAATCACGTGGACATGCTGCCGAGTCACCTTCTGCCGGCTCGGTGGGCTCAACAAAAATAAAGAACGTGAAAAAGCAGAAGGCCATGGAGGCCGAGCTGGGCTAGACCACAAGAAGCCTGGCCTTCCCTGAAAAGCCTAATGACACGGTTCTCTGAAGGGCCCAGGCAGCGGCTGTGGAAAGCTGATTACAGTGAGGCCTTCTGTAATGGAGGGGTGAGACCTGCTCCTCTGGCAAGAGCTTGCCAGCTGGGCTGGGGTCTGTCCTCCTTCCCTAACGGGCCCTCCGGATCTGGGAACACTCCTGCCCTGTCCCTGTCCCGGGCTGGGGTCTGTCCTCTTCCACTTCCAGGTTCCCCAGACCCGGGGACATCCCTGCGCCGTCCCTGTCCTGGCATCTCTCAGGACTCCCAGGAAGGAAGCATGAGACCGCATCCCCCCACATGGCCCCATAAAGATGGCGTCCCGTGGGTCCCACGGGCAGTCTAGGGCCGCCACGCTGCCAGGATAGGATGCAGGGTTGGAGCCAGGGACTGGATGCGGGGGGATGGCTCACCACGGCCAGAGGCCACAACCGGAAACCGAGGCTGACACAGAAGCTGCTTCTGGGGGTGACTCAAGGGGCCCTTGCGACATGTCCTCTTCCCACCCAGGAACTCTGCTCTGTCGAAACTGAACCTGGGCCCCCAAGGAGGAGCGTTTCCTCTGGGGTCACGGCCGGCCCCCCGACGTGGGCTTTTTAACTTCAACGTTCAACGCGCGCCAGGGGACGGGGGTGGCTCTGGGGTCGCTGCCACCACTGGTTCTCAGCTGGACTCAGGCAACGGCCTCTGAATGAGCCTCCCTTCCCCGGCTTCTCCAGCTTCCCTGCCTCCCTGGAGTCGATCAGGATGCTCTACTCCCCTGCGGGGGGCTTTGCGTCACACAGAGGCCAACCCAGCACCCCTCAAGCCCTGAAGTGCCCTTTCCAGTCACTGCCCACCAGTGTCCTCTTCCATCCCCTGAGGCGCGGTCGCTCTGGCCTCCTCGCCGAAGCCCTGCACGTCACACTCCCGCCGTCTGTCTCTGGGCACCTGCAACGCCCTCCGCCAGGGTGTCTCCTCCCTCCATCTCCACCTGGCTGCTGCCCACCCACCTGGCAAGGTTCCCCTCCAGCATCACTCCTTGGGAGGCAACCACCCCCTCCTGCTTCTCCCTGCTCACATGATCCCAGCCACCTCCTGAGCTGTCACTGTCACTGGGGCCTCAGAAGATCCTATCTGTTGACTTACGGAATCTGTCGGAGTGCTGAGATGTACACTTTGGAGTCGGGGGTCTCACTCTGTCGCCCAGGCTTGCAGGCTCATGGCCACCAGTCTCAACCTGCTGGGCTCAGGCGATCCTCCCACCTCAGCCTCCCGAGTAGCTGGGACTACAGGCATGTACCACCACACTGGCTAATTTTCTAATTTCTTGTAGAAATGAGGTCTTGCTATGTTGCCCAGGCTGGTCTTGAACTCCTGGCCTCCTGTGATTCTCCTGCCCTGGCCTCCCATAGTGCTGGGATTACAGGTGTGAGCCACCATGCTTGCACTGAGAAGCGCACATTTTTGTGAGGCTTTCATCTCAGCTGAATCCCACCCTCTCTGCTTCCTCCCCCTCAGTCTTCCACTATGGCTGGGTCTGTGGCTCAAATTGACCTCAGGTCATCAGTAAGGAGGAGGCACCACGAGAGAACTGGAGAAGGAAGGCGATCACCGAAGGCCCTAGCCTCAAAGCTGTTTGCTGTGACCGCCAAGCTCTGGGGTGTCAGAGCAGACCCAGTCATGCAGGGAGGGGATGCACTGTGTGTGAACAACGCCTCTCCTGGCTGTGTTTGTCTTTTTTTTTTAGTTGGAGTCTCATTTTGTCGCCCAGACTGGAGTGCAGTGGCACACTCATGACCACGGCACCCTTGACCTGCTGGGCTCAGGTGATCCCTCCAACTCAGTCTTCCAAGTAGCTGGAACTACAGGTGTGTGCCACTGCACCTGACTAATTTTTTGATTTATTGTACAGAGGAGGTCTTGTCGTGTTGCCCAGGCTGGTCTCGAACCTGTGGGCTCAGGCAATCCTCTCGCCTCCGCCTCCCAAAGTGCTGGGATTACAGGCGTGAGCCACCACACCCAACTTGTGTTTGTCTTGATGGCACTACTTGCTCTGTGAACCATGTACTTGTCCATGTATTATCCTCTCACTGGAAGGCAAGATACTGAAAGGGCTTTGTTCCGTTCGAGGCTGTCACCTGGTCCATGGTGAGCCCTTGATGGCTACTGAATAAATGAATGAAAGCATGAATGAACACATGTCGGACCTGTCCAGGATCTAGCCCTGTTTCTAATCTCTCCGGAGCTCTCTTGACAGAACCACCTGCCCTCCACCGTCCCCAGGCTCTACCCATGCACCTGCCTCCACATACCCAAGGCAAGGAATCCTTGGAGGTGCCCAGTCCTTCTATGCCAGCGCCACCAGGTGGCAGATGCGTCACCCAAGCTTGGAGCCTTGGGTCCTCCATCCTGAAAACCTTGACTCCGGGGTGAGTGGCAGAAGGAAAGGCTGGCCTCATCCTGGGAGGTGCCGAGGCCAGTCTTCTGTCCCACGGCCTCCTGTGGTTCCTTGCTCCCAGGAGCAGCCCTGATGACTGTCCACAGGCCAGCTTGGCTCCCCAATCATCCACCAATGCTGGGAGCACCTGGCCCCCTTCCAATAAATTCCCTTTTTGCTTAAGCTGGAGTTAACAGAGTTAGTTTCTGTTGTTTTTCAGCAAAGGAACCACCAAATTAAAACTACAGGCCAGCGATGGTGGTTCATGCCTATAATCCCAGCCCTTTGGGAGGCCCAGGTGGGAGGATCACTGGAGCCCGGGAGTGGGCAATGCAGACAAGAGACCTTGTCTCTACAAAAAATAGAAAATAGAAGAATCGCCAGGAGTGGTGGTGCCTGAAGCCTCAGCTACTTGGGAGGCTGAGGCGGGAGGATCGCCTGAACCCAGGAGGTGGAGGCTTCAGTGATCGTGCCACTGCACTCCAGCCTGGGTGACCCAGTGAGTCACAGAAAGCAAGAGGTAAGCCGTGTGTGGGGCTGGAGGGGGCGTCTTCTGTGTCCCACCACCCTGAACACGTCTCATCTCTACCTGCTCTTAAAGACAGAGAGCAGCACCCAGTGACGGTCGTGTCTGCATGATGTCCCCCAGACGGTGATGAAGTCCTAACCCTCAGGACCAGAGTGTGACTGTATTTGGAAGAGCTGCCTTTAGATGATCAAGTTAAGACGGGGTCATGGGGGTGGGCCCAAGTCCGGGAAGACTGGAGTCCTCATGCAGGGGAGATGTGGACACAGAGGCATAGATATGCACACAGGAGAACGCTGGGTAGACAGGACGCCATGAGTGATGCCGGGCAGACGGCATGGCCATGAGGGTGACGCTGGATGGATGGCATGGTCAGGAGTGACACCGTGCGGACGGGTGGATGGGATGGCCATGAGGTGACATGGCAACCAGCCAGGAACGCAGGCTCCCAGCCGTGCAGACAGAGGCTGTCCTGTCCTGCCCCAGGAAGGAACCACCCTGCCGACCCCAAGCTCGGACTCCTAGCCTGGGACTTGGTTCTGTAGGGACCTCCATGGCAAGGGTGCGGGACACAGACTTCACATGAGAAGCAAGCTGCTCCCACTAGGGGCCACTGATGGCACGCAGAGTACCTACCTGGCCAGCAGGGGACCATCCTTCCCCCAAGATGAGCCGGCCCCACCCAAGACACACGGCGCCTTGGCTGGAGGGAAGCACCCCAGGGCGACTGCCAACAGGCCACGAGATAGCTCTCCAGGTTGGTCATGGCAACCCAGGACACAGATCCCCAGGACACAACTCCCAGGACATGCTCCCATGACACAGCACCCAGGACATGGCTTTCCAGGACACGGCTCCCAGGACACAGCTCTCAGGACACGGCTCCCAGGACATGACTCCCCGGGACACAGCTCCTCAAGAGATAGCTCCTGGGACACAACTCCCCGGGACATGACTCCCCGGGACACAGCTCCCAGAACACAGCACCCCAGGACACATCTCTCAGGATACGACTCCCAGGACATGGCTCACAGAGAATGGCACCCCAGGACAGGGCTCCTGGACACGCCTCCTCAGGATATGGCTCCCAGAACATGGCACCCCAGGACACGGCTCCCAGGACACGGCTCCTAGACACGCCTCCCTGGGACGCGACTCCCCGGAACATGGTTCCCCGGGACATGGCTCCCAGGACACGGTTCCCAGGACACAGCTCCTGGAACACAGCTCCCAGACACAACTCCCTGGGACACAACTCCCTGGGACATAGCTCCCAGGACACGGTTCTCAGGATCCGACTCCCCAGGATATGGCTCCCAGGACACAGCTCCCAGGACACGACTCCTAGGACACAGCTTCCCAGGACACAGCTCCCAGGACATGGTTCCCCAAGAGATAGCTCCTGGGACATGACACCCTGGAACATGGCTTCCCAGGACATAGCTCTCAGGACACAGCTCCTAGACATGACTCCCTGGGACACCACTCCCTGGGACATGGCTTCCCAAGAGACAGTTCCCAGGACACGACATCCTGGGATACGGCTCCCCAGGACACGGCTCCCAGAACACAGCTCCCTGGACACAGCTCCCAGACACGACTCCCTGGGACACAGCTCCCTAGGACATGCCTCCCAGAACATGGCACCCCAGGACACAGCTCCCAGGACATGGCTCTCAGGACACGCCTCTCCAGGACACGGCTTCCCAGGACACAACTCCCCAAGAGATAACTCCCGGGACATGATACCCCAGGACACAGCTCCCAGCAGCCTGACCGGGGCAGGGACTCACCGTTGGACGCTCTCATCTGTCGCCGGCGTCCCACGCGGTCCAGCCCGATGGGGGTGCTCTGGGACAGTGCGAAGGGCCGGAAGCGGGCGGACACGGCCTTGTAGGGCGGCACCTGGTGTGCCGGCAGGGGCGGCCTGGCAGCCGGCTGCAAAGGAAGCGGAGCGGTGAGGGGCCAGGAAGTGGCAGGCCTGCGAGCGACACCCCATGCTGACACCTCGGAGCAGCCACAGATGTGCTGCCGCCCACAGCCTCAGCAGCACCGTGCATCCACCGAGTCCGCCTCGCGGAGGCTGGCCACGTCTGCCGGCCACATGCCAGGCGCCACTGGTGGGGCAGAGGCCTGAGAAGACGAGAGGCTGGTTTAGGGAGGTGGCGAGGGTCAGAGGCACCTTCCCAGGAGCGGCGTCTGCAGAGGCGAGGACAGGGCCCTCGGCCCTGCACTGCAGGCCTCCCCGCAGGGCCTCCACAGAGCCTGGCACCGCCACCCTGGACGGGTGGTGGACCTGAAAATAGCTCCCATGTACTTACACTAGCACCAGGGCTGAGCTTCATTTAACAGAAGAGCTGGTTTTCCACGAGTTTACCTAGCTCTCTCCAGACCTGTCCATAATGTCCTTCTGGCCGGGTGCAAAGGCCTCATGCTTGAGGTGGAAGGATCACCTGAGGCCAGGAGGTTGAGATCAGTCTGGGCAACATAGGAAGACCTCGTCTCTACAAAAATCTTTTAAAAAATCAGCCAATGGCCGGGAGCAGTGGCTCACGCCTATAATCCCAGCACTTTGGGAGGCCGAGGTGAGAGGACTGCCTGAGCCTATGGGTTCGAGACCAGCCCTGGCAACTTGGTGAGACCTCATCTCTGTAATAAATAAAAAAGTTAGCTGAGCATGGTGGCATGTGCCTGTAGTTCCAGCTACTTGGAAGGCTGAGGGGGAAGGATAGCTTGGGTCCGGCAGGTCAAGGCTGCAGTGGCCAGGGGCATGCCACTGCCCTCCAGTCTGGGTGACAGAGTAATACTCCCAACTCAAAAAAAAAAAATCAGCTAGGTACGGCAGCTTACACCTGTAGTTCCAGCTACTCCGGAGATCAAGGTGGGAAGATCACTTGAGCCCAGAAGGTTGAGGCTGCAGAGAGCCATGACTGTGCCACTATGCTCCAGCCTGAGCAACAGAGCAAGACTCTGACTCAAAAAAAAAAGTCCCTCTGGTTTTCCATTAGAACAGTTTTTGTAACCACGCATCGAAGGCCCTTTGGTTCATGTATTCCTTAGGCATTCTTTTTTCTTTATTTTATTTTATTATTTATTTATTTATTTATTTGTGAGTCAGAGTCTCAATCTGTGGCCCACACTGGTGTACAGTGGCACATTGCTCATGGCCACTGCAGCCTCAAACTGCTGGGCTCAGGTGATCATCATTCTTTTTTATTTTTTCTGAGTCGGAGTCTCACTCTGTTGCCCAGGCTGGAGTGCAGGGGCACGCTCACAGCCACTGCAGCCTCCACCCGCTGGGCTCAGGCAATCTTTCCACCTCAGCCTTCCCAGAAGCTAGAACCACAGGCATATACCACCACGCCCGGCTAGTTTTTTGATTTATTGTAGAGACGAGGTCTGGCCAAGTTACCCAGGCTGCTCTCAAACCCGTGGGCTCAGACAATCCTCTCACCTCCAACCTCCAAAGTGCTGGGATTGTATGCATGAGCCACTGCGCCCGGCAACTCTTCTTTATTTTTAAAATGTAATACATGCATTTCTTTTTTACAATTCCTTAGGTTTTCTTAGGATTTCCCACCCAACTCCTTAAGTTACATTACAGTGCAGAAGATTACTCCACTCCTTTTTGGTACTCTGAAATGGAATGATTTCTAAGCAATTCAGCTCTTCCCTGGAGTGTGTTTCCAGTTAAAACAGATGACAGCTTGCTTCAGTTCAGAATTACTTCCCAGCAGGTGAAGCATCTTAAAAGATTCTTAGAGATTTCATGGTATTCTTCAATTTATTATTTTTTACCTTAAAAATTCAACTCAATTCAATTAAACAATAGTTTTTTTGGATTTGTTTTTTTTTGAGTTGGAGTCTCACTCTGTCACCCAGACACGCTCACAGCCACTGCAGCCTTGACCTACTGGTCTCAAGAGATCCTTCCACCTCAGCTTTCCAAGTAGCTGGTACTACAGGCATGCACCACCATGCCTGGCTAATTTTTTTTTTTTTTATTATTGTAGAGATGCAGTCTTGCCAAGTTGCCGAGGCTGGTCTTGAACCTGTGGGCTCAGCCAATCCTCTCACCTTGGCTTCCCAAAGTGTAGAGATTATAGGTGTGAGCCATGACATCTAGGACTTTTAATCGAATGTTTCCTATCCTCAACTACTGAGTACCTGATAAGCCCTTGTCAGGTGACTAAAACATAGACAGGATCCATTTAATCTACTGTCAGCTGGACACGATGGCTCACACCTGTCATCCCAGCATCTTGGGAGGTGGAGGCGAGAGGGTTGCCTGAGCCCTAGAGGTTCAAGACCAGCCTGGGCAACTTGGTAAGACCTCATCTCTACAATAAATCATAAAATGTAGCCAGGCATGGTGGTAACTACAGGGCATGCGCCTGTAGTTCCAGCTACTTGGAAGGCTGAGGCTGAAGGATTGCCTGAACCCAGCAGATTGAGGCTGTGGTGGCCGTGAGCGTGCCACTACACTTCAGCCTGGGTGACAGAAGGAGACTCCAACTCAAAAAAAAGAAAAAAATCTGTCAAACCATTCGCAAAGTTGCAACTTGGAAGTAAGAAGTAAGTAAAAGGTAAAAACAAAACAAAACATCAACAATAAAAAACAAGCTTCCTTATTTCCTAACAATCAAATTGATTTCTTCGGTATTTCCTTCTCATCTCTGCATCTCAGCAGAGGATAACACTTGCTTTTTTAGGAATTACTTCTTCCAGGAAACTCATTCATAGGCACGGCCACCTCCCCCTGGTTCAGGTCTCAGGTGATTAAGAAGCCAGCGGCATACACATCTTATTTGTGATTCCAGAAGAAGAGGAGTGTTAGTGAAGGTGCCAGGTTCAGGTAGTTAGTTCAAATTCACATGTGTTTTCAGAGTCAGGAAGGAGAGATGGAGAGCAGGGGCTGTACCCTCCCAAAGGAAGGAGGAGGAGGAGGAAGAAGAGGAGAGAAGGTCTGGCTAAGAGCAGACAGGGCCAGGCCGGACATCCCGGGGGCTGCGGGAAGCCCCCACTCTTACTTGGCTCAGTAGAGTGTCCATTTCTTCCATCTGGCTGTTCCCATAGAAGCTGACCCCACCAATCACCGACATGGGGCGGCGTCTCCGGGGCCCCCTGGGGCAGCCCGAGGGAGCATTCTGGCCCACGGGGCCGCCGGAGGTCTCGCCCGCCTGGGGGTCCCCGTCCACACAGTCCTCCTCCTCCTGGGGATCCACGGCAACCGCGTCTTCGGGGATGGACAGACTGCGGCTGGCCGGCTGGCCGTAGTCGGAGAGTGGCCGTGGCCTGGACCGCCACCCAGAGCCCCATGTCCTCCGGGTGAGCCTCTGCGCCTCCGTGCTCTCCTCCTCCTGGGACGGTCCTCGCCTCCAGGGCTCCTCGGTGAAAACCTTTTCAAAGGCGACAAGTCAGGTGAGCTCAGACAGCCAGGAAGATGTCGGGAGAGAACTGGCGTTTCCGTGTCCTCCCACCCGCCCCCGACTTTCTAGCTTTGCTTGTTTGTTTAGGAGAGTTATTTGTGTGCTAGAAGAACTGCAGTCTCGACCTGCTGAGCTCAGGTGATCCTCCCACCTCACCCTCCCCAGTAGCTGGGACTACAGGCATGTGCCACCACACCCAGCTAATTTTTTGAGGTTTTTGTAGAGACAGGAGTCTCGCTATGTTGTCTAGGTTGGTCTCGAACCCCTGGGCTCAAGCCATCCTTTCACTTCGTTTTCCCAAAGTGCTGGTGTGAGCCACCGTGACCAACCCGAGAATAAGTTTCTTGGTAGAACTTTGTCATCTGACAAGAAGCAGATACTTCCCAGAGAACTCAGCTGTCACAAATCCCCCCTGGGAGTTGCCTGTAACCAGGGAAGACAGGAGAATCCACACCTAGACAGACATCACCACAAAATGACCCCACCTCTCACCTGTTCCTAAAAGCCTGTTCACTTTTCCTAAAAGTTCCCTTCTCTCCACTTCCTCCCCTACTAGTATAGCACATGAGCCTTGAATTATCTGTATTTTTTTTTCTTGAGTTGGAGTCTCTCTCTGTTACCCAGGCTGGAGTGCAGTGGCACGTTCACAGCTACCGTGGCCTTGTCCTGCTGAGTTCAGATGATCCTTCCACCTTAGCCTTCCAAGCAACTGGAATAACAGGCGTACCACCACATCCCAATTTTTTTTTAATTTATTGTAGAGACGAGGTCTCCCCAAGTTACCCAGGCTGGTCTTGAACCCCTGGGATCAGACAATCCTCTTGCCTCTGCCTCCCAAAGTGCTGGGATGACAAGGGTGAGCCACCACATCCAACCCTAGCCTTGAATTCTAACCACTTCCTGGAGTCACATTTTTCTGTGAACTCATACACGCATGCACATGCACACACACACAGAAATAAACACCTGTTTTCTTTTGCTAATCTGTCCACTGTCGGTTTAATTCACAGGCCCACAGAGAACAGGCCTAAGAAAGTAGTTACAAGTGTTTCCTCCCCAAAATCACCACCAGGAAATATGAGAGAAATCAAGGGGGAAAAAAAAATCAATATTATTTTCTGCATTACATATGAAAAACAGATCATTGGCCGGACTCAGTGGCTCAGCCTGTAATCCCAGTACTTTGGGAAGCTGAGATGAGTGGATTGCCTGAGTCCACGGGTTCAAGATCAGCCCGGGCAACTTGGCGAGACCTTGTCTCTACAATAAATAAAAAATTAGCCAGGCGTGGTAGCACGTGCCTGTAGTTCCAGCTATTTGGAAGGCTGAAGTGGAATGATCGAAGGAGCCCAGCAGGTCGACGCTGGGGTGGCCGTGAGTGTACATGCCACTGCACTCCAGCCTGGACGATGGAGTGAGACACCAACCCCTCCCAAATTAAAATAAAATAAAAATAGAAGTGAATAATAAGCCGGACATGGCGGCTCACGTCTGTCATCCCAGCACTTTGGGAGGAGGAGGAGGCAAGAGAATTATCCGAGGCCACGAGTTCGAGACCTGCCTGGGTGACTTGGCGAGACCTCGGCTCTACAATCAATTAAAAAAAAAAATTACTGAGTCAACTGGCACAGACAACTTAAGTACACAGTGAGAATAAACCCAATCACGAGATCACCCTGTGAATAAAAAGTTCAGAAATGGGCTAGAAAACAAAAACGCAAAATCGCAGACAAGGGGTCGTGTAACCGTTCACAAATGTACAGGCAATGTGTTTTGCTTGTTTTTCAGTTAGTTTTTTTGGGGGGTGGGGAGGTCTTGGTTTGTTTTGTCTCTGCCCTTACCCAGCATGCAGCCTGCGTCTCCTGAGTGAGGCCAAAAATAAGGAAACACTCCGGGAAGTGGTGGAGGCTGGGCACGGGCAGGTGTGCCAAAGCAGGTCAGCAGCCGGCAGGGGCCGGGCCTGGATTATTCCTTTAACTCCTCATGCCTTGGCGTCCACACAGCAGAGTGCCTATAAAAACCAACCGCAAGGCCGGGCACGGAGGCTCACGCCTGTCATCCCAGCACTTTGGGAAGCCATAATGCAAGGACTGCTTGAACTGCAGAGTTCGAGATCAGCCTGGGCAACACAGTGAGACCTTGTCTCTACACACACACACACACACACACACACACACACACACACACACACACACTCAAAAAATCTGTGGGGCATGGTGGCGTGAGCCTGTAGTTGCAGCTACTCGGTTTACCTGAGCCCAGCGGTTGCAGTGAGCTGTGATCGTGCCACTGCACTCCAGCCTGGGCAACAGAGTGAGACCCCGACTCAAAAACAAAAATCAACAGAAAAAGGCAGTTCTACATTCAGTATTTTTACAGTTCTCCTGAAGACATAAAAGGAGAAAACACTCCCTCAGAAGGTACCGAATGTTCTAGAAATAGCAGAAACTAGTTAAGGGGGTAATACCTAAGCTCGAAACGTCTATATACTCCCTGCAGTAGTGCAGAGGAAGGGATGGGGGAAACTTCAGCATGAAGCTCACACTCAAACCCTGATTTTCAGCAAAAGACAGCTGGATTCCTTGAAAAACAACCGCAAACTTTGAAGGATATTCTAAAACTGCATCTTTCCCCCCCCAAAAGGCTACGTACTTCTGAAATCTCCCCGGGGTTGATCCTGGGAGTGCAGCTGGACTGTGAGTCTTCTTGGAACGACAGACACACACGCACCCCAAACAACCTTCCCCGAGAGCTGGGACCTACCACAACTCGAGGTGTGGGCATCAGGGGCCCACGGACACACGGCAGGAACAGGCAGCAGCCAGCCACGTCCATGCCCTGGGAGTCTGCCCTGCCTTCCCGACGTGGTCACCAGGACCTGCGGGCCACGCCAGAGCTCTGCTTGCTAAATGGCTCCACCCGGCTCTCTCAGCTCCAATGACCAGTTCATACCAGCCATAAACTCGGTAAACACACTTTTCATGGCATCCCTGCCCTTTTAACCGTTGCTCCTCCGTAGGTACTTGAAGTGCTTGCCTTGGTCATGAGTACATCTTTTTATAAGCCAACATAGACCATGGTTCCTGCAGCCAGACACTTCCAAACAACTTTTTTCTTAAACTACAGTGAAAGTAAATTATTAACCAGAGGAAAACAGGAAAGACTTGCACAGAATAACTTAATTTCACATAGATCTGTTCAGAAGCCTGTACTCAAAGTGCAGACGGTCACACAGCAAGCATCAGGGATTGAACTGTGTCCCCCAAAAGATGAGTTGAAGCCCTAACCCTCGGCACCCGTGAACATGATTTTCTTTGGAGATTGGTTCTTCACGGATGTCAACATGAGGCTGCCGTGCTCCTCTGGTCACAGGAGCATGAGGGTGGAGTGGGCAGATGCTGGGCACTTCTGGGGGGGGAGGGAGGGGACACATGGCAACACACCAGGCACCCGCCCCCCTACTGGGGGAGAGAGGGCCTGCCAGAAGCCCAAATACCACCTGCGAACAGCCTACTTATATAGCAAATCCTCGTGTGTACTCTAAAATTTAAAAAATGACAGGCTGGGTGTGGTGGCTCACGCCTATAATCCCAGCACTTTGGGAGGCTAAGGTGAAGGTGAGAGGCTTGCCAAGCCCACGGGCTTGAGATCAGCCTGGGCAACTTGGCGAGACCTCATCTTTACAATAAATCAAAAATTTAGCCAGGCATGGTGGTACAAGCCTGTAGTTCCAGCTACTTGGAAGGCTGGGGTGGAAGGATCGTCTGAGCCCAGCAGGTCGAGGCTGTGGTGGCCGTGAGTGTGCCACTGCCCTCCAGCCAGGGCGACAGAGTGAGACTCCAACTCAAAAAAAAAAAGGACAATGAGGTCGTCCTGGATTAAGAGGGCCTTGTTCCCACAGCCGGTGTCCTTATAAATCAAGGGAAATTTGGACAGAGATAAACACAAAGACAGGCCGGGGAGAATAGAGGCAGGGATCGAGTGACACTCCCACAAGCCCAGGATATGGAGCCAGGCAATCCCTAGGAGCTGGGAGAGGTGAGAAAACTCCTCCCTGGCGCCCTGGAGGAACTGTGGGCCTGTCAGTCAAGCTTCTGGCCTCCAGAACTGCGAGGGAACATGTGTAACACGTGTCTGGGGTCTTAAGCTACTCAGCAAGTGGCAATTTGTTACAGCAGTCCTGGGACACTCGCAAGGAAGGTAATTCAGAAGAAAGCATCACTGGCAAGGGCGTTACAGGGACTTCATGAAGACTTGATCAAAAAAATTAAAGCATAGGGACCCCGCAGTGCCAAAGGTTTCCTAAAGATGCACGTTTGTGCAAAGCCAACCTGGAGGCTTTTCCTAGGGGACCACAGTCCTGGGTGCCACAAGGGATCTGTGCACAGTCACAGTGTGGGCTGGAGGGAAGATGCCTTAGCAGCAGACGCCATGGAGAGTGGTGTAGGCCCCACGTAGTGCGGAGGGTTTTGGACGCCTGCAAGAGGCCAGGCTTGCCGGGCTTCGGTGGCTCAGCCTGTAATCCCGCGCCTTTGGGAGGCTGAGGTGAGTGGATTGACTGAGCCCGTGGGTTCGAGACCCGCCTGGGTAGGCGAGACCTCATCTCTACAATAAATAAAAAAAAAAATTAGCTGGGCGTGGTAGCGCACGCCTGTAGTTCCAGCTGCTTGGAAGGCTGAGGCAGAAGGATTGCCAGAGCCCAGCAGGTTGAGGCTACGGTGGCTGGGAGCGGCCACTGCACTCTAGTCTGGGCGACAGAGTGAGATTCCAACTCAAAAAAAAAGAGGTCAGGTTTATGCCAGGCACATATCACCTCACTTTACTTACATGGCTGCCCCGGAAGGCAGGTACCATCACCACATGGTACCAGTTAAGACACTGAGGCCAAAACAAATAAGATGGGCTGGGTGCGGTGACCCAAATTTATAATCCCAGTTTTGGGAGGCCGAGGTGAGAGGATTTCCCAAGCC